CTTTAAATTAAAATTACTGAGAAGAGGTAAAGAAGGTTGCAACATACTAATTAAGGGATCTCTCCTTCAGGAAGGTATTACAATTCTAAATCTCTATTCGCTAAACAACGGAACACCCAAATTTATCCAAGAAAACTACTTTCCCTCAAATCTCACATAGATCAAAAGACATTAATTGTTGGGGACTTTAACACACCACTATCCCAACTACATAGATCAACTCAGGAAAAACTCAAAAGAAAAAACGCAGATCTAAACAACTGCATAGAACAACTAGATTAAACAGACATCCACCGAATATTTCACCCAGCAGCATCAGAATACACGTTTTACTCAGCAGCACCTGGAACATTTTCCAAAATAGACCACATTTTAGGTCACAAAGCAAACTTGTCCAAATTCAGAAACATTGAGGTTATATTGCATTCTCTCAGACCACAAGGGAATAAAATTAGAACTCAACACCAAAAGCCACCAAAGAAGGCCTTGTAACACATCGAGGCTGAAAACGTACTGTTGAATCACCAATGGGTCATGGAAGAGATTAGAAAGGAAATTCAAATGTTCATGGCATTCAACAAAAATGGACACACAAATGACCAGTTCCTCTGGGACACAACAAAGGCAGTACTCAGAGGCAAGTTTATAGCTCTGAGTTCCTACATCAACAAATTGGAGAGATCTGAAACCAACAGTTAATGAGACATCTGAACTTCCTTGAAAAAGAGCAGCAAGGCAAATCTCAATCCAGTAGATTCAAAGAAATAATTAAAATTGAATCAGAATTAAATGAATTAGAATTCAAAGAAAACATAGAAAGAATCAACAAAACAAAGATTTGTTTCTTCGAAAAAATTAACCAATTTGACAGACCCTTAGCAAATCTTATCAGACAAAGAAGAGAACAGACCTAAATAAATAAATTCAGAGATGAGAATGGAAACATCACCACAGAAACAAACAAGATTCAGAATATTATCAGGGAATAATTCTCAAACCTTTATGCTAATAAGTATGAGAACTGGCAGAAATGGACCTTTTCCTAGCAAATGTCAACAACTAAACCAAGATGAGTTAAAACATCTTAACAGGCCCATATCAAGCATTGAAATAGAAACAGCAATAAGAGACGTCTCATCTAAGAAAAGGGCAGGACCAGATGGATTTACAGTGGAATTCTACAAGGCCTTCAAAGCAGAGCTCACACCAATACTACTCAAATTTTCAATGAAATTGATAGAGAAAGTTCACTACCAAACTCATTCTATGAATCCATCATAACACTCATCCCAAAACCAGGCAGAGGCTCATCAAAGAAAGAGAACTATAGACTCATTTCTTTGATGAACATTGATGCAAAATTCCCAACACAATTTTGGCCAATTGACTTCAACAATTCATCCACAAAATGATACACCAAGAACAAACAACATTCATTTCAGGGATGCAAAGCTGGTTCAATATACACAAATCAATTAATATAATTGATCACATCAACAAAAGCAAGATTAAGAACCACATCATTATCTCAATAGATGCAGAAAAAGCATATGACAAGATCCAACACCCCTTAATGATGAAGGTTCTGGAAAAATTAGGAATTCATGCAACATTCCTCAATACTATAAAGGCAGTATATGACAAATCTACAGCCAGCATTATACTTAATGGTGAAAAACTAAAGCCATTTCCTCTGAACTCAGGAATGAAACAAAGATGTCCATTCTCTCCACTTCTCTTCAATCTAATATTAGAATGCCTAGCTACAGCAATAAGACAAAATGTAAACATAAAGGGGATCCAAATAGGGAAGGATGAAGTAAAACTCTCCCTCTGTGCAGATGACATGATCTTGTATTTAAAGAATCCCACAGACACCACTCCCAAATTACTCAAGCTGATTCAAACTTTTGGCAAAGTAGCAGGCTATAAAATTAACCCTCCAAAATCAATGGCTTTTCTGTGTGCCATCAATGAGAAAAGCATGGTTGAAATCAGGAAAGCAAAGCAGTGTGTAATATCTTCACAAAAAATAAAATACCTAGTAATTAACAAAGAAGTGAAGGACTTCTATGATAAAAATTTAAAAACATGAAAAAGGAAATCAAAACAGAACTTAGAAAGTGGAAAAAACCTCCCATGCTCCTGGATTGGAAGGATCAACATAGTGAAAATTGCAATACTTCCCAAGGCCATCTACAAATTCAATGTGATACCTATCAATATTACAACCTCATTCTTCAAGGAAATAAAAGAGGCAATCCAAAAATTCATATGGAACAATAAAAGACCCTGAATAGAAAAACGCTTCTTCACAGAAAGAACAGTGGTGGAGGAATATCAATACCAAATTTCAAACTCTACTAAAAAGTCATAGTAACCTAAACAGCTTGGTACTGCCACAAGAACATACCTGAGGACCAATGGAATAGAATTGAAAACCCAGAAATGAACTCACAAACCTATAGCTATCTAATCATTGATAAGGGAGCCAAAAAAATAGAATGGAAGAAAGACAGCCTCTTCAGTAAATGATTCAGGTAAAACTGGTTAATAACTTGTAGAAAACCAAACCTAGATCCTTATATATCACTGCACCAGAATCAACTCCAAATGAATCAAAGACCTCAGAGTCAAAGCAGATACTCTAAAAACATTACAGGACATAATAGGAGAAACCCTAGGCCTCCTTGGCACAGGCCGAAATTTTCTTAATAGAGACCCAGAAGCACAACAAATCTAAGAAAGGTTGGGTTGTATGAAATTGCAGAGCTTCTGCATAGCAAAAGACATAGCTAGCAAGATCAAAAAAAAAAAAAAAAAAAAAAAACACGAATTGGGAGAAGATATTCACTGGCCAACAATGGACAAGGGTCTCATATCTAAAATATACCTGGAACTCAAAAAACTAAATCCCACAACAACAAATCCTCAAAGAACAACTCAATAAATAAGTGGGCTAAAGACTTACAGAGAAACTTCTCTGAAGAGGAAAGAAGGATGTACATGCAGAAATTGCTCAAGGGCTGCTCTCTGTTAATAAACAAGTTTTCTACCTGCAAAAAATAGAAAGAAATGCTCAAACTCGCTAGCCATAAAAAAATGCAAATCAAAACAACTTTGAGATACTACCTCACCCCAATTAAAATGACTGGGCAAGAACTCTAATAACAACAGATGCTGGAGGGGATGTGGACAGAAGGGAACCCTACTGCATTGTTGGTGGGAGTGTAAACTTGTTCACCCACTTTGGACCGTAGTATGGAGGTTCTCAAAAGACTCCACAAAGAGCTCTCCTATGACCCAGCAATCCCAGTTTTGGGTATTTACCAAAATGATCACAAACAGGACCATACTAAATATACCAGCACAACTACGTTTATTTTAGATTTACTTACCATAGCTAAGATATGAAACCAACTCAAATGTCCCTCAGTAGATGAATGGATCAAGAAAATGTGGTATAAATACACAATGTAATTCTATGCCTCTATCAGAAAGAATGACATTGCCCCATTTGTTAGGAAATTGAGAGACTTGGAAAAAGTTACATTAAGTGAAGTAAGCCAGGCCCAAAGAAACATAGGTCCCATGGTTTCCCTTATTTGCAGTAACTAGTATATGTCTGAGCAAGCAGAAATGGTCAGATAAGTTGATGTTAGGCGAAATGAACCCCAAGATAAAGACTCAAATGTTTTTTTTCTTTCTTGCAGTTGTTTCTATTTATAAGATGATTTCTTTGTTGCTTTGTATGTCCCTCCCCCCACAGTATAACCCCTGTTTTCACTCTATTTGATATTGGAATAATTTGGGGAGGGGAAGGGAAAAAACAAATTGTTTAACTAGGGATACAGGTGGACCCATTGCAAAAAGGAGCTTTACAAGATGTTATGTCAAAAAAACGAGCTTTACAACTTTGGATGTGGGGTGGGGGAAAGGTTAGGTAAGGGATGGGAAGGGGAAATAAAGGAAGAGCCAACAATGCTTGTTAAGAAATGTACTCATTACCTTGCCCATGTAATTGTAACCTCTCTGTATGGTATTTTCACAATTAAAAAAAGGAAATAATAATCTTAAAAAGTAACCAATTCTGGCAACTATAGCACCTTGCAAGAGTTCCTTATAGGCTACTAAAAATCAAATCAAAGCTATGAATTCTACAATTCTACCTTAACAGTTTTTATAATAATGCATACAATAAATTTTAAATTCTCAAAAAAACCACATGGTACATTATAAATACAGTTTTGCAACAACTAGTATATGTCTGAGTCAAGGAGAAAAGGTCAGATAGGTTGATGTTAGGGAAATGAACCCCAAGATAAGTATTTAAATGTTTTTGTCATACAATTGTTTCTTACATATTTATAAGATGATTTCTATGATGCTTTGTATGTCCCTCCCCCATGGTATAACCCCTGCTCTCATTGTATTTGATGTCGGTATAATTTGTGGAAGGGAAGGGAAAAAACAAATTGTTTAAATAGGGATACAGGTGGACCTATTGCAACAATGACATATACAAGTCGTTATGTCAAAAAACGAACTTTACAACTTTGGTGAGAGAGAGGGATCGTGTGGGGGGAGGTGGGTGGAATATGGAAAGGGATGGGAAGGGGAAACAAAGAAGAGGCAACAATGCTTGGTAAGAAATGTACTCGTTATCTTACCCATGTAATTGTAACTACTCTGTATGGTATTCTCACAATAAAAAAAGAAATAATAAAAAATACGTTAGAAACAATAGCAAGACAGAAAAATATATATTTGTGCCCCTATAAGTCCTCAAAAGTGAACTACAGTTACTAGTAAACGATGTGACCACGAGGTGGCAGTAAATTTCAGCTGATGCCCAATAGGCAGGGGGTTATTTCAGTGGATTCTAAAGGAGTAGGTTAAGGGTAAAAATAAAGTCTTCTTATTGGCTGTGTAGACAATTCAAGAAAGCACTATAATTGAAAGAGAGAAAAGGAAACAATTTGATGACAGAAGTGGTTGTCCTTACTATAGATTATAAGTCTTCAAGTGATTGTAATTGGGAAGAAATATGAAGAGATTGATTCATGGTATATGCTTGCTCTTGTGGCTGCAGCTGAACTGTAAGTTGATTTGGGAAACCAGAGTACATTAATACTTGATGTTTAGACATCCAGGAGATCACTTTATCTAGGCTGTCTGTACTTACTGTAGAAAAAGGCAGTCCTGCAGAGTACTGAGCTGACAACTGTCTCCTTTCTGTTTGTTTTTTTTTCTCCACATAGGGGTGAGTGAAGGAGAGAAGCTGGAGCAGGGTCCGTCTATCCTGAGCATGCAGGAGGGAGACAGCTGTGTCATCAACTGTACTTATTCAGACAGTGCTTCAGACTACTTTCTTTGGTACAAGCAAGAACCAGGACAGGGTCTTCAGCTCATTATAAACATTCTTTCAAATAGAGACAAAATTGAAAATGACAAATTCCTTGTGTTTTTGAAAAAGAAGAACAAACACTTCTCCCTGCACATCAAAGATGCACAGCCTGGGGACTCGGCAGTCTACTTCTGTGCAGCAAGAACACATTGCTCCTCAGGCACCTGCAGCCTGTCTTCAAACTTGCCACCAAGACTGGAGCTCCAGCCCATACTTTGCCACAGACCTTCTTGCACAGCATTTGCCAATTGTTTGCAAGTAGCAGCTAACACACAAACATTTAGGTCTAAGGAGACCCTGACAGGTGAAAACAAAAATAGAGTGATTGTTACTGAAGAGATTATTTTCCTATTTTATTTATTAGTAGAATACATACTATGAGGTAAAAAATGCATAGGGCTATATTTTGGGATGGGACACAGGGCTTCCTTCCTCTTCTTCTCAAGATATGCCAAATCCAGGTGTGTCGTCAGCTTCAGCAATCTTAAACCTGCACTTAATGACTTCTTAGAAAAGTAATAAATAATGGTTCTTATTTTTGGTCAGTTGTGGGACTTGAGCTTTGTGCTCAAGGCTAGTGCTCTACCACTTTGAGATGCAGCTTCACTTCAAATTTTCTAGTGGTTAACTGGAGATAAGTGGTCTCACAGACATTCCTGCTCAGGCTACATTCAAATCATGATCATCATATCTCTGCCTCCTAAGTAGCTAGGATTACAGACATAAGACATCAGTTCTGGGTATGATTTTGTGTGTGTGTGTGTGTGTGTGTGTGTGTGTGTGTGTGTGTGTGTGCGCGCGCGCGCGCGCGCGCGCATGCCGAGTCATTTAGCAGGTCATAGGAACCTGACCGGACCTGCCAGGCTCAACTCCACCCAGGAGAAAGTCACCTGGCCCAGGCAGAGAAAACCCTGCCCCCAGAGAAGTGGCTTTCTTCACTGGGTAAACAGAGCCAGAGGCTGCCCCTCCCTACCTCAGCCTAGACAATCAATTGAAATTCAGTAAACATAAACCCTGAGAATGGCTCTAGGCTGGGCTCTGTGAGTGTCTCTGGAGAGAGCCCCTCAGGAAATAGCTACTGTTTGCTGAAAGGCCTCAACCCCACCCAGAACCTAGCCTCATAACAGCATTTCCAAACTAAAGGAAACAGTCATCTCCCTCTTTTGTGATACTCAAAGCAGATCTCCTGCCCATTGAACTAGCTTGGGTGGAGAATCTGGGTAAAGCAGAGCATTTTTCTGCCTGCTCAAAGAAACTAACTTAAGAAACTAATCAAGCCACAGGAAAACCAAACACCACAAGCAGACCAGAGAGTCCACCAGGAGACTGGTTACGAACACAAGGGGATACAGGATCTTCCCATCCCATCCTCCCCCCCAAAAAAATCAAAGAACTCTTTTTTGTACCTTTATTTTATTTTTAATTTTTTTTTAAAATGTTTTCTATTAATCTTTTTTTTCCTCTAATAATTTGTTTTTTAGGTGTATATGTGTGTGTGTGTACGTGCTTTTTTTAATCTGTATTGACCTTTTGGTCCTTTTTCTTTCCTTCTTTCTTCATTCTTTTTATTTTTTTCTTACTTTTATGCGTGAATTATTGCTGATCCTCAGATATATACCTGTCCTCGATTATTAGACCTTATCCCCCATTGTCTACAAATTTAATCAAGACATTTACTACACAATTCACAACCTCTTAGGCTTAAATTCTTTAATAGCAGCATTATCTCTTTATACCTATATAATTTTTAAAGAATTTTTATTTCTTAGTTTTTCATGTCTCTTCTATCCCTCCCCTCCTCTAATCCTATCCTTTCTTTCTCTCAATATCATCTTTAAACATAGATAATTTTTAAGTTTCACTTTTTAAATTTAAATTTTTGTTTTTCCATTTTTTCTTGTTTTTTTTTTTAATCTCTCTCCTACCATTCTATCCAATCCATTTCCCTCTCTGAGATTAGGACTTAGTTAAATTCACACTCCTTTTACTCTACACATCCCACTAATCCTATTTTTCCCACATTTCTCCCTAAACCTAATAATTTCTGCTTTGCCAAATTCTTTCTTGCTGTTCTTAGCCCATTAATCCATAGTTGTTTGATAGTGAGTAGATTGTATCTGTTGAACTAGATTGTATGTGCAGCCTTTTGACTTTGCAACTACAGGACTTTGGTTGATGCTTGCCTTAAAATAGTGTTCTAGCACAAAATAGGTTTTCCTTTCATACCAAATGGGCAAAACAAGCCAGAAAAACATAAGAAAAATGGCAAGTCCTGGTATCTCAACTCCCACTCCTGATAATCAGGTGACAGAACAGTTAATAAATAATCCAGAGGGGGGTTCCCAAAAAGCTCTACAAACACTATTGGTAAACATAGTGAATGAAAATATTGAAAACCTGCAAAGGACTCAGTGTGAGCATGAAAGGGAGAGACAGGAGGCAAACCAAAGATCAATACAGGAATCTCGTAAGTGTGAGAAAGCTGCTCAAAGATTGATACGGGAATTGCGTGAGCAGGTTGAGAACAGTCAAAGAGAACTACAGGAATTGCGTGAATGTGAGGAAGCTAATCAAGGAGTAATACAGGATTGCGAGAGCAAATGAGAATAGACAAAGATCACTAAAGGCATTCATGGAATCCATAAACGGACAGCTGAAAGAAGTCAGGGAGACGTTTGTTAGGAAATGGAAAGACTTGGAAAAAATTATATTAAGTGAAGTAAGCCAAGCCCAAAGAAACATAGGTCCCATGGTTTCCCTCATTTTCAATAGTTAGTATATGTATGAGTCAAGCAGAAAAGGTCAGATAAGGTGATGTTAGGAAAATGAACCCTAAGATATGTATTTAAATGTTTTTTTTCTTTCTTGCATTTGTTTCTAACGCATTTATATGATTATTTCTTTGTTGCTTTGTATGTCCCTCCCCCACACTATAACCAGTGCTTTCACTGTATTTGAAGTCGGTATAATTTGTGGAGGGGATGGTGAAAAACAAGTTGTTTAAATAAAGATACAGGTGGGCCTGTTGCAACAATGAGAAGTACAAGTTGTCATGTCAAAAACAAACTTTACAGCTTTGGTGGGGGGGTGGGGGGAGGATTGGGTGGGGGGAGGCTTGGAAGGGATGGGAAGGGGAAACAAAGGAGGAGGCTACAATGCTTGATAAGAAATGTTCTCATTATCTTGCCCATGTAATTGTAACCCCTCTGTACAGTTTTTTCACAATAAAAAAAAAATAAATAAATAAAAAAGTCAGGGAGACCACAAAGGGAATGCTGAATGGAGCCTGACAGAAGGCAAGGGAGTCCAAGGAAACCATAACCAATCAAATAAGTGAATTGAGAATAAACACTGAACACCCAATTAAGGAAGTAAAGAAGTTCATACAAGATCTAAAACAAAGTTCCAACAAAGAATTAGAAGCCATCAAAGCCAACCAATTAGTAGGAAAAGAAATAAAAAACAAAGTAGAAAGTCTTGACAGTAGGTTAGACTATGCAGAAGATCGAATCTCGGGGATTGAAGACAGCCTAGATATTATAGAGAAAGAACATACAACTATCCAAGACAAATCCAAGAAATATGACAGATCTATTCAACATTTGGAAGACACCATCAGAAGGCCTAATCAGAAGATAATGGGTGTAGAGGAGCAGGTAGAGAGGGAAGTTAATGTCTAGGAAATTTGTTTAACAGATTCCTAGCAGAGAACTTCCCAAACATACAAAAAGATAGGCCTATTCAGATACAAAAAGCTTTTAGAACCCAAAATAGACCAGACCAGAATAGGACATCCCACTGTCACATTATAATCTGCACAGGAACAATTCAAACTAAGGAAAGGATCCTTAACGCTGTCAAGGAGAAAAGATCAATCACCTATAAAGGAAAACCAATTAGAATCACCTCAGATTTCTCAGCAGAGACAATCAAAGCAAGAAGAGCCTGGAATGATGTATGCCATGCCCTAAAGACAAACAACTATCAACCAAGAATACTGTACCCAGCTAAACTATCCTTCATAACCAATATATCTCCACCAAACCAGCCCTACAAAAGATACTTAAAGATGTCCTACACATAGAAAACCAACAAGAGCACAATAAAGGCCAAGAAACCACACCCAAACTGAGAATCCAAGAACCAAAGGAAGAACCCAGTTGCCACAGCCCCAGGAAAATGGATAACATGGCAGGAACTCCCAAACACCTCTCAGTCATAACTCTCAACATAAACAAACTTAACTCTCCAATTAAGTGACATAGACTGTCTAGTTGGATTAAAAAGCACTATCTTATATCTACTGCCTTTAGGAGTCACACCTTGCCCATAAAAACAAACATATTTTGAAAGTCAAAGGCTGGAACAAAATCTACGAAGCAAATGGCCCCCATAAACAGGTGGGAGTTGCAATCCTAATATCAGATAAAATAGAATTCATATTAAAATTCGTGATAAGAGATAAAGAAGGTTGCTACATACTAATTAGGGGATCTCTCCTTCAGGAGTATATTACAATTCTGAATATCTGTTTGCCAAACAAGGGAGCACCCAAATTTATCCAAGAAACACTACTTTCCCTCAAATCTCACATAGATAAAAAAATCATTAATTGATGGGGGCTTTAACATACCACTATCCCAACTACATAGATCAACTCAGCAAAAACTCAACAGAAAAACCACAGATCTGAACAACTACATAGAACAATTAGATTTAAGAGACATCTACCAAATATTTTACCCAGCAGCATCAGAATACACATTTTTCTCAGCAGCACAAGGAGCATTTTCCAAAATAGACCACATTTTAGGTCACAAAGCAAACGTCCAAATTCAGAAACATTGAAGTTATACCTTGCATTCTCTCTGACCACAAGGGAATAAAATTAGAACTCAACACCAAAAGCTATCAAAGAAAGTCCTGTAACACATGGAAGTTGAACAACATACTGTTGAATCACCAGTGGGTCATGGAAGAGATTAGAAACAAAATTCAAATATTCAACAAAAATGAACACACAAATTACCAGTTCTTCTGGGACACAGCAAAGGCATTACTCAGAGGAAAGTTTATAGCTCTAAGTTCCTACATCAACAAATTAGAGAGATCTGAAACCAACAATTTAATGAGACATCTGAACCTCTTTGAAAAAGAGCATCAATATAAATGCCGAGACAGTAGATGGAAAGAAATAATTAAAAGTAAATCAGAATTAAACGATTTAGAATCCAAAAAAAAAAAAAAAACATAGAAAAAAATCAACAAAACAAAGAGTTGGGTCTTCAAATAAATTAACAAAAT